GACATCAGCCGTTGGTAGGCGTAGGACCGGTTATCCGGGAGTTTGCGTCTGGGGGTTCGGAACGGGAGTGGTGCAACCCAGCTGTTTGTATTGTCCTTGAAGAAGCCTGCCATCTTTTTCAAAAAGATTACATCTTCAGCTGAATGAGCAAGGTGGTTGTCGTTGCTGGTGTGACAAAACACAGTTGCGTCCTATCAGCAACAGAATGTCTGCACTTGGGTTGAGAGGTGGTATTTGAGCAGCTATTGCTTTCAGGTGCGGGTGGTGTAAAGCAGCTTCTGCAGTTGGCACCTCTTCCCTGTTGTTGGGGATGGCATTGCACTCAATGAGCGTGGGGAGAGGGAAACTCATTTTTCCATCTAATGACTCAACCATGTAGCCACATGCTCTTCTACCAGTCGTGTGTGTTACACCACTACAAGTTTTCAGCATGTATGGTTCAGGTGTGGTTTGTATGTTAAATATGTCAAAAAACTCTGTCTTTGCAAGTGACTGGTTACTTTGATCATCAATTATTGCATACATCCTTCTGGCGTTGTCTCGCTGACCCTTGAGATAGACTTGCACTAAGCAAACCTTAGAACAGGATCTCCCTGTGATTTTGTTTCCACATACCTCTGTGCATGTGGCAGTAACATCCGGGTCTTGTGAATTTGCTTGCTCCCCGCCGTGCACTTCAGGAGATGAAGGAGGCCTGGGCATTTGCAGTGTTGGGGCAGGATGAAGAGCTGCCAGGTGTTTCTCACTATTGCACTCTTCACACTTAATCATGACTGTACAGTCTTTGGCTTGGTGGCCGGTGGAAGCAAGGCAGCGGTAGCAAATGCTATTGTCTCTGAGGAACCTCTTCCTCTGCTCAAGCAGCATAGCTCTAAAGCCCCTGCATCTTTTGAGTGGGTGGGGTTTGTGATGTATGGGGCACTGTCTTTCAATGTCTTCGTCTGCTTTTTTTACCTTTGATCCCTCTGATGATATGTCCATCTTGTGCACTGTAACCGATGACCTTTGGTTGAGGTTACTTAACGGTTTTTCTTTTCTGTAGCTGGACATGTGGTTGGCATAGGAAAGAGTCGTGTTGAAAGGTGTGGTAAAGCTTGGATCATTCCTTGCTTTTGCTTGACGTTTCACAAATTCAACAAAGAATGAGAATGGTGGGAAGCTAACATTGTGGTCTTCTTTAAACTTTGACCCTACCATTGTCCACTTCTCTTGAAGATGGAAGGGCAACTTGTCCACAATTGGATGTACTCCCCTAGCTGTGTCGAGGTAACTTAAACCAGGCAAATAACCATCTAGCTTTGCAGCTTGGAGTTCACACAGCAGATCTGATAGGTCGCGAAGCTTGTGTGGTTCTTTACTGGAGAGCTTTGGAAAGTCTCGTATTCGGGCAAACAGGGAGTTTTCTATTGCTTCTGGTGAGCCGTAACATTCCTCTAGTCTCAACCATATCATGTTCAGACTGGCAGGTGGATGCTTTATGTTGACTGCTTTTAATCTCTTGGCGTGTTCAGAAGACTCTGGGCCTAGCCACTTAATGAATAGGTTGATTTCTTCAGTGGCTGTTAGACCAAGGTCCCTAACAGTGCTCTGGAATGTGGCTTTCCAACTAATTTTCTGGCTTGTCGTCAAATTTAGACAGCCCTCCAGTTATTAGCTGACTCTTGGCTAATAATCTGGCGAGGTCGCTTGCTATGGTGTCTGCATTATTATTTGAGCTTAATCCGTGCTGCAGTTGTAATGCATCGTGGAGAGTCTGTGGACTTACATCTCTTTGTAGTCGTCTCTCTGCCCCATCTTGTGGCATGAATGAGTACTGCACTGGCTCTTGTTTGGGACAAAGAGGTGTGTACATTACTGGTTGTTTGGATTGTTCATTCTGATATTTACTGTCGTCATGGTGAGATGTAATGTCTGGAGCCAGGTCAGTGTGGCTGTGTTTATTTATGTATTCACTCACTTTTTGCTCTGGGGTTACTTGTAGGGGTGACAATGGCCACTCTTCCCCTGATTCAGCTTTGTCAAATTGAGCTGCTGCTGACTCCATTACCTCTGCTTTAGCCAAGGCTGCGCTGCATCTGCTTCCTTTTGGAGGTTGATTACATCCAGAGTTGCTTCTAGGCGGGCCTTTTCTACTTTAATGTTCATCTCCTTCTCAGCGTAAGCTAATCTGGCTTTTGCTGCTTGAGCTTCTGCTTGTGCCCGCGCTGCTGCCATACTGGCTCGGGTTGATGCTGATGACCTGCTTGAACATGCTGTAGATGATCTAACAGTCAGTTTTCCTGAAGACTTTGAGGACCTTCTTGAGCGAGTGGACCTTGCTTCCTCGTCGTTTTGACCTTCAGCCTCTGATTTCTCCATGTTAGAGTAGAACTGTCACTCGACGTCCTTCGCAGAGCGCTATGATTTCACTGTACTGTTGCACCCAATGTGACCCAGTGTCCTATATTGAGATTCACAGCCAGCTAAACTCTCTCTTGCATCACTTCCTCCAAGGAACAGGCACGTGTTGTATTTGGACAGGATTTAATGCAAAAAAGTGTGAAACTGAAATGATACAGAATACAGAAATGTCACATAAACATTAGCTTGGGTTGAACTTAAGTGGACATATAAAACACATCAAAAGTTTCAAAATCACTTCAATAATGTCATATACCCTCTCTTAAAGGTAAACACAATTAAGAAACTTACTCATATTGCCACTCAAAGGGATTTAACGGAGTGGATGGCTTTGGATCGGAGGAAAACACACCATGTCTTGCTTCACTCATGAGCAAACACTTCCTATTACACTTCTTTTAGTGACTAATTGGCTCAACATAGCAAACTGTGCAACCCTGCGCCCCCTATAGGCCTGGAGAAATAACATACAAACAGTTCCAGTACAGAGGGTCTGTATGTAAAAGCAGTTGTCTGACCAGACTGCTTCTTGTGTATGGCGTGGCAGTGTGATTTTCCGCTGTCTTTAATGAAGAATGGTACTTTTGTCATGGTACTGTGTCTGTGACCCAGTCTTTTGCGTGTTTTAGTTTTCTTCTTTGGTTAGTGTTATTTTCTCAGTGTTTCCTGGTTTATTTTGAAAGAGTCTTGTATGTCTTTGTCATTGTGTTTAGTTTCACTTCCCCTGTCTAGTCAACTGTTTCCCCGTGTGTCATCACTTCCCCTGATCACCTCCTGTGTGTATTTGTTCATTTTCAGGTAGTCTGTTTTCCCTCCACGTCTCATCACAGTACTTATAGTCCTCACAGTATTCACAGTCGTCATAGTTGATTCATAGTTCTACAGTCTTGTCACAGTTTTCATAGTTTTTTAGTTTTCCTAGTTTAGGTTTCAATCTAGTTGTCGCTCCTTGTTTTGCCTTTGCTCGAATTTTATGTCCATGTCTACCAGCCAACATAAACGGCTCGCTTTTCTTTATGATGGGGAGCCGAGGTCCCCTAAAACTCTGCCCCTGCCTACTTATACGTGATCTAAATTACATTTTCATCTAGGTCAAGGAAAAGAGGTTAGGAATAGAAGATAGGAAGTACCTTTAGATAGTGATGGTGTTACGTCCCCACTTAAAAGTCTAGGCGATGAGGGTGGGGGACAGTAACAGTTAGATCCAGGTGGAATGAAAAGAACGCCAGGCAGAGGTATTTAACATAAAATAGATCTTTATTGTAGGCAAACACCTCAATAATCATATAAATGGCAACAACAAAAGGAGACAGCACCGCTGCTTTAATGAGAAATCAGGGAGGTCAACCCAAAGTGGTAATGACCACTTCAACAAAGAAAGCAACAATAAGGCTTCAACAGAAAGAGACAGCAACGCTGCTAGCAAACAATATCCAGGCAGGCCACACAAACTAATGAAGGCCGCCGTCACTCATGGGCAATCACTGCTCAGTTAAACACTACTCACAAAGAGCCACACACCAGAAGGCTGGTCATACGCAGCAGGCTGTTCTACACCTAAGCCAGTAGCACACTCTGACCAGCACAGAGGAAATCCACCAGAAACCTCTCCCTCCTCTTCCACACTGCTCTTCTCCAGCTTATATCACCCCTGAGGGTAATTGGTTGTAACGAGAGCAGATGAGCAGCAGGTGTGACCTAAAGGAGAGGGCAGGGGCAGAGAGAGAGACAAGGGGAGGGGCCAGAACGAAGGAGGAGGAGAGAGAAGACAACACCACGCCCACACACTCCCACAGCCTCCCAGGATGTAACAGATGGGATGCACTGTGCCAAGGCTTTGGAGTGTGTGTCGAGAAATCCAGGAAGTATTTAATGAAGCGCGAATTGAGGCTTGCTTCTTCAAGAGTAAGTGATGTCACTGATGACGTCTGAAGCCTGGCTGGTTCAGACAGTGGTGGCGTGATTTTTGCTCATATATGAAAAGCGGTGGATTCTTGTAAACTTTGTGTGTTAGTGTTTGTGCTTGGGATCAAGAACTGGTTCCTTGGAATCGTTAGTCTGCCTGTCTATCAGTGCCGCTGATCGATTCTTGCATCCTCACTACGATCATATGGACATTACTTTTATTTTTATTGTAAAAAAGGATGAGAGCGTGATGGTAAAGTGGAGATTGCTCCAGAACAGAAACAACTGCATTATACTGTTAAAACAACTTCGGCTCTTCACAAGCACCTGTGCAGATAGCATGCTAATGCTAAGCCAGCCAAGAACCCAGAGTGATGTTAAAGCTGAGTGGATGCTGACCTGTGGAAAAAGTCAGCCGCTGCTGAACTTCAACAGATAACAAAGGGATGAGCAGTCAGGGTGCAGCCTCTATTTCTATCTGCTCATCTTTCTACGGTAGAATCACCATGACAATCACTTTAAAGTGTCTTTGTGTGAATGATGATGTTGAATTGTATTGTGTAAACATGTTTAAGGCAACAGCTGAGAGTGTACATTCAGATAAACCGCTGGGTTAGGTTGGCACAATCTTTGAATATGGAAGACAGCAGCTGTGACACCTGCAACATGCACAGGGTAACTTTGTCTGCTCTACATGCTAACTAATTACATGCTCTTTCACTTCTAAGGCTTTATATATCAAGACATTTTTTTAAACTCGTCCTGTTCTTGCATAGCACTTTCTTTCTCTACATGAGCGTTCAAAGGACTGTTATACAGCATGTCTCACTCACACACATTCATACAAGCATTTTTTTCTTAGTCTCTGTCCTTACTATTGAGTAATCACACTTCAATAAATACATCAGGAGTAACTCAGGGTTCAGTACCTTGCCCAAGGATACTTTGCCATGCAGGGCGAGGTCATCCAGTAGCAAAACAAATCACCATTGTACCACTGTTTGTGTCCCATGTTTGGTTTTTGCTGAAAATTACTGCCATGTTCATGGCACGTCTTTAATAAGCCATGGCTGTTGAGTCTTTTTCTACTTGTACTGGGATGAACCTTAAAATTCAACATGCCCAAAGAGGCCTGTCAAGTCTGACATACAACTCTTGCTTTTTTGCTGTTTCCCTGAACAATGTAACATCACACAATCATATATGCAGTGGTTAAAGTTGGCCACAACAACCCAGTGTTCCAGCACCTTCAGTAAAGCTTCACTAAATAAAATGACAGGCAATTAAACACTAAATAGTTAGAGTCATTTTTCATATGCTGCAGCCTGACGGTCTTTCTATCTGATGTCACGTTTGGGAATCGAAATCCGGTTCTTGTAGAGTGCTGTTCCCAGTATCTCAACTGGAGGAGAAAAAGGAGGAGGAGAAAAATAGTGGTGCAGTCTACAGTGTGGACGTATTACTTTTACTATTACTTTGTTAAAAGTAATATCCATATGTAAAATAAAAAACTGCATCAAGAACAGAAGTAATCACATTTCAAAGTACAAGTACTTTGTTACTGTACTTAAGTAGAATTGTCAGATATCTGTACTGTACTTGAGTATTTATTTTTCTGACAACTTTTCTTTTTATATGTGTGTGCTTTTCTTTCACACACATATAAATACATATACAGTGGGGCAAAAAAGTATTTAGTCAGCCACCGATTGTGCAAGTTCCCCCACCTAAAATGATGACAGAGGTCAGTAATTTGCACCAGAGGTACA